TGCAGGGGGGAAGTTAAACATGATGAGCAGGAATACTGCCAAGTGGGTTGAGGAATATGATGATAATGGCATGTGGTGCCGTGATAGAGAAGTATCTGAACAAAACGACAATTTATATTATATTCTGAATGTGGTTGATAGGTGCGAGTTGTCCAATGGGTTTCGTTTTATTAAAGAAATGCTATTGCAGTATCATAATTTCAAAATGCAATGCGCATATCAAAAATTGACAGAGAACAATGTTAAGGTATTGAGTGTCAAATGCGACGCTTTTGTCGTGGACTGTTCGGGTTTTAATAAGTTTGGTTTGAGAAAGACTCAGCAGTTGCTAGATTTTCACGATGGGATCGGTGGGTGGAAATTAGCCAAGACTCACGATGAGATCCATCATACAGGAAAGCAGTTGTATGAACAGAAGAAGTGTGAATATGTTGATATCCCGATTGTCAAAAGTAAGAGAGTTAACATCATTAATGAGTATGATGAAAATGAATTGGTTGAACTTGTTGAGAAATATAGGTGCTTGATGATTAAGGCTAAATTCGCAGGAGCGGGGAAGTCCACCATCTGCAAGAACATGGAGAGACTCAAGGGTTATAAAGTGTTGTTCGTGGTTCCTACCAATAATCTGGGTTTGGAGTGCGAAGTGGAAAGCGTCACTGTAAATAAATTCTTCAGTATAGCAGTCAATGACGAGAAGCTAGATAAATACGATCATTCGATGTTTGATGTCATTGTGTTTGATGAGATTTGTTTTAATAATACCTTTGTATTGGCAAAAATTAAGGGCTTTGTAGAGCAACATAGGGCTAATAAAATCATATTAGCTACTGGTGACGCCAAGCAATTGAGCCCTATAAAAGCACTGACTAACACTAAGAAACACGAGATTTATATGAATGAATGTATTGACAGCATTTTTCCTCATCATTTGTTTTTGGAAGAGTGCAAGCGATTGAAGACTCAGGAGGACAAGGATAAACTTAAAAGTATTTATGCCGACATCTTTGAGCATGAGTTGTCTCTACATGATGTCATCAATAAGTATTTTAAATATACTGATGACATCACAGGAACAGAAAGCAATGTCGCATATTTAAATAACACTTGTAGAGAGGTTTCAAGGCAGATCAGGAAACGACAGGGCAAACAAAATGAGTTTGAAGTCGGCGAGATCATGATATGCAGAGAGTATAGGAAGACAAAAACCTATAAGTTAAATGTGAATTTTAGGTATGAGATAATTAATATTTCCGATCCTTGGATTACCATTGCTAATATCAAAACACGAGAAGAGATTACATTACATATTGGTATCTTGAGAAGTCATTTTATCTTTGCCTTCTGTTATACTTGTCATTCTGTTCAGGGGTGTTCCATTGATGACGATGTCACCATTTTTGATTGGAACCATCATCTGATAACTCGCGAGTGGCTTTGGACGGGAATCACTCGGGCAAGGGATTTAAACAGAGTAAAATTTTACAAATACAGTAGTGATTTAAATGAAGAGTTTAACGCAAAATGCATTATGAATTATTTTGATAGAAAGGTGTTAGCATACAAGGAACAGGATAGGAAAAACAAATTTGAGATCCCAAAAGACAATTATGTGGATGCCGAATGGTTGAAGGACAATGTCAACGGAAAGTGTGCAAATTGTGGCTGTGGTTTCGTGTTGTCAATGGATTCTGGTAATATAAATTCTAATCTGACTTGTCAAAGGTTATGTAATGATCTTCCCCATACAAAGGATAATGTCATTGCCTTCTGTGCTTCTTGTAATAGATGCTTCAGTGATAAAATAACATATTGATATTTATTTTATAGTGTTATATATATGAGTGAAAAAGACAAGATAATCAGTGAGGTCTACTACGATCAGGCTGGCTTTGGCTCTTTAAAAACAACTCTTGCAGACGCCAAAAAGAAAGATGCATCCATAACAATGCAAGATGTCAAGGAGTGGTTTCAAGAGAACGTGGAACGGAAAAAACAACTGTCTGGATACAATTCGTTTATTGCCCCTGATATCAACTTTGAATATCAATTGGATCTGTTTTTTATATCAAAAAATGATTTAGATAATCAAAAATATAGGATAGGCTTATTGCTTATTGATGTATTTTCCCGCAAAGCCGTGGTGGTGCCTATTGCATCCAAGCAACCTGCCGACATCACGGCTGGGATCATGGAGGCATTAAACAAAATGGGAGGGAAACCCAAATTAATTTATTCGGATGACGAGGGGAGTCTCAATACCCAAGATCTTGTTGATTTTTTCAAGGACGAAGGGATCCAAAACTATAAAACACGAGGGCACCCCCATTTCGCCGAGCGTTTCATTCGCACGTTCAAGGACATGCTTTTCAAGAGGGTTGATGCAGACGAGAAAAAGGGAAAGGTTAATATACAATGGGTTGATTATATCCCCGAGATCATGCTGACATACAACAGTAAAATGGTTCATTCTGCCCACGATATGACTCCAAACGATGCCCACAAAAAGGGAAACCATCTTGAGGTCAAGATGAAGCTTGAGATGAACAGAATCAAAACCCGTAAATATCCCCCTGTTAGGGTTGGTGATGAGGTCAAAATATACCGCAAAAAAGGGATTTCCGAGAAAGAAAGAACGAGCAACTGGAGCAGTGTCAAATACAAGGTTTCAAGGGTTGAAAAAAAACTTGGTCAAGATTATTATTCTGTTGAAGGGATGAACCGCCCCTACTTGAGGTCAGAGATTCTGAAGGTTTGAAAAAATAATATCTAAACGGTTCTAATAGCTGATGAATCTATTAGAACTGTTTAGTGGGACAGGGTCGGTCGGTCGCATCGCCCGTGATCTGGGGTTCAATGTCATTTCACTGGATTTGAAGGGTGCTGACATAAACCAAGATATTTTACATTGGGATTACAAACAGTTTGATCAGAAACACTTTGATGTTATTTGGAGTTCGCCCCCGCGCGCTGAATACAGTAGAGCCAAGACAACAGGGAACCGCAAAGTAGACTATGCAAATTCCATTGTTTTGAAGACCCTTGAGATCATTGAGTATTTTAAGCCCCGTTATTGGTTTATTGGAAAGGGCAATGACATTGAGATGTAGATATGCCTGACCCAGCATCACCCTAGCGCAAGGGGTATCTTGGAAAAATCAACCTTGATTTTTCAGGAAAATCAACCCTGATTCTCAGAAACTAGCACTCAATTCAGTGGAGATGAGGGTTCCCTAAATCAACACTGATTTTTTCATGGTTTCCCTATCATGCTGAGCGCTCAAGGTGGTTCTGACATTGCATGAACAAGTCAAACCCACACACACGTCGTGCGTGGAAGCATCGGCTGAGAGATGAAAAAGCACGGAAGACTTCTATGACGAGGATGAAGAATTTAGCGATAATGAAAGCACGGCTAGCTATTATTGAGATGAATGTTTCAGTTCTTGATTATACTATAGTTACAACATATAAGATCTTATATGTTGTAATTTTAGTTTAATTTTCCCGTATAAGCCGTGGGGGTGCTTTCCTACATAGGCCTTTCCCATCCGCATTTTGCCATCCATATTTTACTGGGATTGTTTTCAAGATTTGGGTTAACGGTTTTAATTCTCCCTTTTCCATTGGTTAACCATTTTTCGGGGGAGTGATAATTATTTGAAAATAGGGTTGTAGCCATCTAAAGGCAAGGTGTCCTACTAAAGTATGGAGAAAAAACTGTGTTCAAGATGTAGATACGAGAAAGGTGAAGATAGTTTCGTGTATGGACTCAAAAACTGTGATAAATGCACTGATCAAAAACGAGACTACAACAAACGAACTGTAGACAAGAGGAAAGAATACCGGAAACAGTATCTTGAAGCAAATCGCGAGGAAATTAATCAGAAGCGTAGAGAGAAAACAGCGAATAATGGATATTTGTATTGCCATGTTTGTGAAAGAAGAGTGAACCCAGAAATTTGGGACTTCCATTTGGTTGGAGGTTGTCACCAAGATAATATACTCAAACACTTGAAAGCAGATTATGAACGATTAGTTGAAGAAGCACCTACACAAGAATTCAAGGACAAATATTTTCAAGAAGGTCAAGAGAGGATACAAGAACTCAAAATGACAATGCCTTTGTATAATCCAGCTTTGAGAAGAAAGAAAGTTGATCAGGCTGATGGTGGTGAATTGGACTAAAAAATAAAGTTGATCATTAGAACATTATTTTTCTAATGATTAACTTAGAGGGTTGTTCAATTTGGTGGTTTTGAATGGTGCAATTTGATAGGTGTATGTAAAAAGTGCTCAAAAGTGTAGGGGGGGGGGTGGGAAAAAATGCCATCCGACGGACGGGAGAGGCCGGGTCTAACTCCTTGGGGATCGATCTCTGAATTCTTTTGGAACTGTTGCAAAATATGCAGATGTGTTTTGGGTTCAGAACTCAGTCCTTGCCGGTCGAAGCAAGGAAAACATACTGGTTGGCGGCATTGGTGCGAAATGGTCTTGAACTGGCCTAATCTAAAAGTAGTATCAGGGACCCAGCCGTTTGGACAAAAACAGTATTTAATTTCCTAATAGGGCGCATTTATTAAACGGGGTATCCTTGGCTGCAGCCAAAGCGTTTCTTTGAATCACGAAGTGCGGAAATTGAAGGGAGGAACTGGAGCCCATCCCAGCCAGGTTCGGCGCAGGTTCTGAGTGGACGCTTGATGCTGCATTGTTTTGGCATCATAGGTGGTTGAAGCACCTCTTGGTCGTCTTTAAGTGTGCTTACGTGGGGAATGCAAGTAGACATTGACATGATGAATCATCGTGTGCAAATCTGAGTTTGCTTTCGGGGTGATGGGGAACTGCGCCACTCTTTTGGGCCGAGGGCCGCTTGTGGGTCCATGCAACAAAAACAAAACAGGGGCGCCTTTAGCTACTAGTTGAAATTTGAAGCACACTAAAAAACAAAAACGTTGTCTTTTGCGTTTCGGACGCGTTAAAGCGGCTTTGGGGGTTCTGAGGTCCACGAGGCAGCTGAGGGAGCTGCGGCGCCTGCGGCTGCCGGCGCCGGTGCTGCAGCTCCTGGAGCTCCTGGCGCAGCTGCTGGGGGAGGACCCCAAGGTCTCGCCTCGGAAGCTTCTCGGAGCCGAGTCGGCGAGGGTCCAGATGTGCGGTTTTGGTGATTCTTTTTTGGGGGGAGGGTTTTCCTAGCGGAATAGACTACGGAGAAAAATGGGGGGACCCTTATTCGGCAGAGGTGTCCTTTTTTGGTTTGGTCGAAGAATAGATGGCGATTCCGGGTTTATATACCTCGTGGTTTAATTATCTACCAGGGTCCTATGGCAGAAGGCGTCGGGGGAGAACCCACAGCCGCCAGGCCAGCCCCACGGGTTTCAGGGTGGTGATGGAGTCCACTCCCCGAAGACGTAATTCGCCTCCCCCCCCCACCCCTAGGTCCAGGGTTGGAGGTTTCTGAGTTCACCGGTGTTGAGTTCTTTTTCTCCCAAAAGGAAAGGTTGCGGAAGGGTGAGGTTAGATGGCTTTCCAATGGCCGGCAGGGTTGGTGAAGATCCTCTTGAAAGGCCCGGCCCCAATTCCATGATTAGGGGAGAAACGCGGTATTGGAGAAAAGGAATCCCCGCCACCCACCCCCACGTGCACATGTTCCCCCGTAGCCATGCCCAAACTCCCGAAGAAGGGGACAAAAGGACAACATTCGGACTCTTCAGAGAGATCTCATTTGCTGTTCGCCTATGTGCGGGCAAGCAGATGCGGTTTGGACCTTTGGCGTTGGGGAAATGTGCATGGTTGGCTCAGTCGGCTGCATTGAGGAGTAAGCTCCTAGAGGACAGTGGTTCCAGAAAACTTCAGGCAGAGGTGGGCATATTTCTTCAGGCACCAGCAAAATATAAAGTTATGTGGAAATCTGGGGGGCGGTCAGCTCCAGGTAGGGAAAGAGGGGAGCTTCAAGCTTTTTCAACCCAAATCCAGCACGTGATGCAAGAGGTAAAAGCGCACTGGATGCTTTTGCCAAGCAGCCATCAAGCCACGTTAAAGCCCCCAAAACCCCACCCCACCGCAACTCTGAATTGAGATTGAATCAACCCGAAACCCGACTTAACCCACCCTCAACCCAACACAAGCCGAAAGCAAATCCTAAAAAGCATCAGCAGACCCTAAACCCACCCTGCCCGCCAATCCCCAAAACCACCACACCTAACAAAAACAACTTAGATCAGGCTTAACCCAACTCTGAATCATCCACCCAACCCCAGGTCCACCCAACCCAGCCCAAACCCAGCCCTAAACAAAGCTGAAGCCTACCAGCAAAGCAACAAACCAACCCTCAGCGTACCAAAAAAGCACAAATGACACCCAAACTTAATCTTAAACCGACTCACCAATTCAATCCACTATCCCACTTGATGCCCGAGATCCACCCAAGCCTGTGCTTTGCATTGTCGCACACACACATTCCTCAGTCATTGGGGCTGTTTTTAATCTCAATGAGGCTATGTGCAGACTCACTTCCTCAGCGACTCGCAAACTTTGATCCGGCAACCATCACGGCAGCACGGCGGGCCAGAGTTCGATTTGTGCTGAGCTCGCCCGAGTTGCAACACGATGCAATCTGTGAGCGGCTCGACTAGGGTTGCCAAGCATGGCATGGTTTCTGTTTGCCTACATTGAAGGGCGATGTCATTTTGAAGAGCTTGGCATCATGTGCAAGTCTTTGCAAATCATGTGGAACTTAGGCTGTGTCCAGCGTGCAGTGCGCTGTCCAAATGGTGTGACTGCATCATGGTCTTCCTGTCGCGGACGGAAGACCTGGACTCGACGGAGCTGGAGTACCCCAGCGCTGGTGAGGAGGAAGCGGAGACTGAGAAGCTGATTGCAGCTTGGCGAGGGCTTGTTTGACCATAGCCTGCGACCCTTCAAGTTCATTTGAGCTTATCAGGTAACCCTCAGTTGGTGGTCTGCATTGGTGGTTTGGGGATTTGAGCCTCCGGCTTTTGTAGGGTGTAAATGGGAAAACCCACTCCATGCCACCAATTGGAGGGAAGCTGAGCTTAGGTGGAGCCAGACCTCAGTAGCCTCAGTAGCAGCGAGTTGGCAGCGGTGCGGGAGTTGACGGTGACAAAGCCCGGAGTGGGATCTGTGGTCTTTCATGGCGTCACGGACTGTACAGATTTGGACCTTCACAGGGACGTGTTTCTGAAACGGGGCTACGTCATTGTGTACCCAGACCAAAAGAAGAAGCCGCCCCTTGGCCATGGTCTGAACAAGCCGGCCACGGTGACCATGTATCAGTGCTTTCCTCCAGGCGAGCCAGTGCGGAGCGAGCAGGCAATGAAGGAGTACAAGGAGAGGATCCGTCGCATGACAGAGGAGAATAGCTCTTGCAAGTTCATCGACTATGACTGCGAAACCGGAGTCTGGCAGTTCGACGTCACGCGCTTTTGAGAGGAATCAGCTTGTAAGGCTCCCGTCGGAGCCCATGCGTCAAGGCCAGTTGGCCATGCCAATGCCCCTAAATGCACAGGCCTCGAGCCAATCCATCAGCCCTCAGCCGCTTGAGAGCCCAAGTTTCTGGCGAAGCTGCTAGCCATGGCACAGCAGTCGATTCAGATCCGTGAAACCTCTAGGGGTACCTTTCATTTCCATTCTTCCAGGCATCCTTCTTTCTAAACCTCCAAAACCCAGGGGAAACAGATCCGGTTTTTGAAAGAACGATGGGTGAAAAGAATGGAATTGGAATCAACCCCTAGAAAACCTGTTGATTCAGCTCTGAGCCAGAAGCTTGCCGGCCGCGTCCGAGAGACAGGAAGGCGGCTGTGGGGCTGTGCTTTGCACGAATCGGCAGAGTTCTCGGCCTTCCATGAGTTTGCCGCCACATTTTGGTCAGAACCAATGGGGTTTCACCAAGCACGCGTTGGCGTAGCTTCGTTTTGGCACATAGCCCTTTCAGCAAAATGTGTGTTACTTTTCAAGGGACAAAATTCAACACGAGATGAATGCTTGAACGCCCCGTTGCAGCAAAGACTGGGGTCAACTGATGGTGGAAGGTTTCCACCTGAATCCGTCAGGAATAATTATTAGGATGGCCAGTCTTGTGAAGGATTTTCCATTTAAACTGCAATACATGTCATGAAAGGCGAGAACCACCATCCGACCAACTGCACTGTTGCAAATGGCGAGTGACAGCGCTGCTATTCAAAGTCAGGGGGCGCGGAAATATGAGAAAGTAACCAAGCGTCACGCGCGCCAGACCGGGGCATGTAAGGGATTGTTTCCTAGATTGAATTGAACATCTAGTGCACAGACCTATCCTAAGGGAAGCCAAGCGTTTGCCGAGGTGCCCACGGCGCCGTCAGCTGTCATGTGCTGCCTTGCTACCTCAGGGGGTCTTGCGAGAGGCCGTGCTTTTGGTTTGAATTGCCATGGCCGACGACAAGTACCAGGAGCTTCTGGGCGAGCAGTTGCAGGCTCTCCAGGAGCTGCGTGTGGGGTGGGCTTTTTGGGGGGTTGTCAAAAATATGGACCCTTCTTGGGATCTGGTGCCGCCTTGCGCCGCCTTTTAAAGGGGATACCAAAAGAGGCCCCTAATTTTGACAAGCCTTCTTGTACGGGTTGCAGGTTGGTTTGGGCCCCGCTTGGCAATCAACTCAGTCTCAGTCTCAAGAGCCTGGCACCCAAGGCAGGGGTTTAGGCGCATGCGGATCCATGTTTTGGCATCTCGTTCACCTGACCGAAAGGGTTCCCTGGAGATGATCTCCTGGCCTCTATCCTAGGCGTGCCTTCTTGAAGCAGGCATCCCTTTGACTTGGCACAGGGCCGCGGGACAGTAACAAGGAGTGTTGGCAGATCTTGTATTCCAGACTATCCCTCATTCACAGCAATCATGAAAGTGAGGACCCATGATAGCTTCAACGCCGCCCAATTGGCCTCAATGATTCATTGGCAGTTCAGAGGGTTCCAGACCCAATCGGGGGATGTCGGGAGCCGCGCTGGTCTCAGGAGACTTTGTTGCAGGAGCACCGCAAGAGCAGCCACCGCCTGCACCAAGAGAATCGCCGCCTCACGAGGGAAGTGACCACGCTGAACCAGAAGCTTGGACAAAAGAGGGGTGCTTGATTTGATTGAACAGGGAGGGGGGAGGGGGGGGGAAACCTCCGGGGGGTGGCAATCCAAATAGTTATTCCCAGATGTCCCCCCCCCCCCCCGATCATAGGTTCAGTTCTGTTTGCCTTGCGCAACTGAGCGGAATCAAGGTCACCACTCCCCAGTGGGTATTGATGGTCCCATTTGTCGGTTGGCGGTTGGCCAGTTCCAGGTATTCTTTACTGGTCTTGGCACGTGCTTTAGTTTTCGTGTTAGTTTGTTGGTTCTGTTCATTTTTGCCGGGGGGCTGCAAAAAGCAGCCAGTTGGTTGCTACCAGACCCAGCGTTGTAGAGTATTGATTGGACCCTTGATCCGCGAGGAGACACGCAGGGGTTTTCCCCCCCGCCCCGAGCCCCCCGAGTCGGAGCACGGCCACTTCTCAGGGCTGAAACAAATGCCTAGTGTCGGCAAGGTGTTGGGGCCAGAAGTTGCATCAGATATCAGGGCCAGTGGCGTGAGTCAGATGATTCAGCAAGCTTGTTGTTGGGGGGGGGGGGGGAGAAAACAACGACGACGACGACGACGACAACAGCCGCAGCAGCAGCAGCCACAGCCACACCCACAACCACAACGACAACCACAACGACAACCACAACGACACCACCACCACCACCACCACCACCACCACCACCACCAGCACCAGCAACAACAACAACAACAACAACAACAACAACAACAACAACAACAACAACAACAACAACAACAACAACAACAACAACAACAACAACAACAACAACAACAACAACAACAACAACAACAACAACAACAACAACAACAACAACAACAACAACAACAACAACAACAACAACAACAACAACAACAACAACAACAACAACAACAACAACAACAACAACAACAACAACAACAACAACAACAACAACAACAACAACAACAACAACAACAACAACAACAACAACAACAACAACAACAACAACAACAAAAAACGACAAACACAAAAACATCAACAACCTGAGGCACCCAACGTGCCTTTTTTTAGGTACGAGAAAAAACGCTCGAATTACCGATTTCTGCTCGACCCCCCAAAAAACGCTCGCCCCCCGAAAAAACGCTCGACCACATCCCCTTCTTCCATCCAGAGGAAGGCGGGATTGTTACGTTTTTTAAGATTTGCACTCGTTTGCGGATATTTGCGCTCGTTTTGCGGATATTTGCGCTCGTTTTGCACTTGATTTCTGCTCGCTCCTTTTGAATATTCAGCGACCGATCATCTTGGAGGACCGACCGGCCCGGTTTTGGGAAAAACGCTCGAAGCAGGAAAAAGTGTACGTTTACCATATTTTGGTGACGACCCCTGGTTTTGCAATACGTTTGGGCTAAGGGCAGAAATTTATGTCACGAAGGGTGCTCCAGGAACAACAACAACAACAACAACAACAACAACAACAACAACAACAACAACAACAACAACAACAACAACAACAACAACAACAACAACAACAACAACAGCAACAACAACAACAACAACAACAACAACAACAACAACCGACATAATGCCGCGGCCATGAAGGGACAAGCTAGCTGAAAGCTCACGAAACCCTGCAAATAGCGGTGTTTTTCGCTGTTCCATCCATCAAAAGTAGCTTTTTGTAAACCTTTTTTTTGCAAAAATCGAGGGTTTGCGACAACCCTTTCAGCAAAAAAAACATCAGGTTCCTGGAAAAAGTGTTTCAACAAAGGGGTTGGTTTGGTCAAGGGATGACATGTCCACCTAAGCACATGCGTCTTGCCACACTTTCTCACAAACAAAAAGATTGCTTTTTGCGTGCGTGAAGCAATTTTCTGCACAATTGTCCTTTGCAAGGGTTTTGAACCCTCGGGAGGACTCCACAAACACTGCATGTTTGCGACCCCGCTTCTGGTTCTTCTCTGTGGATCTGGCAAACTTCTGCATCGTTTTGATCTGGTCCTTCGTGAGGTTCTTCTTCTGCAAGGTCACCAGCGGCGTGTACACTTCAGCGCTGTGTTTGGCTGAAGAGCATGCAAAGCAAAGTTTCTTGCACGTGGTCTGGATTGCATGCCCTGCGTCTGCCCCCACATAGCATCCTTTGCCGATGTGCTTGGCCATCGCCGAGTGGATCTCCTCTATGCGCTCGGGCGGACCAGGCGCGCCTTTCGTCAAACGCCTATTTGGCAGTGGGACCCAGACTTTGTCTCGGGAGTCGCGGTCTCTGATGACAAAGACCCGCCCTGCGTGCACCGTCTTCTTGATCGCCAGCGGCTTCCTGCGCTTGGCCGGGCGAGGCACATCTTTGGACCCCAGAGATTTACCTTTTTGACAGCTGGATTTGTTTCTCTTCTTTCCATCTTTGTGGCGGCTTGTGCCTGTGCCATCCTCCAGAAGAGCTGCGCTAAACTGCTTGTTCTCCTGCTTCTCCAACAAAGTAAACGCAGCCACAACCGCACAGCAGGCGTAAATGTAGCGCACGTTCTTGAAGAAGGCATTCTTTCCGGTCTCACACTCCACCGAAGCGCAAGCGCTGTCCATCGGGATGCGCGCACAGAACGAGCAGAGCAGCAGAAGCATCTGCTTGAAGGTGACGGCTGGCTGGTTGGAGCGCCTCATGGATTTGTAGAACGGGGTGTAGCTGTACATGCAGTTGCCCAACCGCTTATCGCAGTCCCGGTTGGAACAGCGCAGAGTAACGTTCTCGCTCTTGGACTTCTTCTCTGCATTGTGATACGAAGAGCCGCAGCTCCAACACGTGCGTGAAGTCTTTCTGGCAAAAAAGTTGTGCTTCCTGCACGCAGCGTCAGTCCACGAGGCCACAGCTTCAAGCCCTGGAGCAGCAGGATTCTCCTTCCACACACGCGTGGCTTTGACCTTTGAAGGCGCCAGCTGCAATCGGAGTTTTTTTTGATATGCTGACGGTTGGTCTCTCGCGACGCCTTCCTCGACTTTGCCGGAGGCGGCTTGCGAGACGCAGGCCTGCGCAAAACAGATCTTGGGCGCTGAAAATGTGACGACCGCAGCTTCACCATGCCTATGACAGCTGTGAGCCACTCCTGCCAGTCAAGCTCTGGAGCTGCTGGGCGAAGAAACAGAGGGGCCCTTCCCAAAAAGAGGACCTTACAACCACGGGTGTTTTCAAAACCAAGGGTATCCAAGGTCAGGCTCTGCAAGCTGCTAGGCAAAGAAACAGAGGGGCCCTTCCCAAAAAGACGACCTTACAACCACGGGTGTTTTCAAAACCAAGGGTATCCAAGGTCAGGCTCTGCAAGCTGCTGGGCAAAGAAACAGAGGGGCCCTTCCCAAAAAGAGGACCTTACAACCACGGGTGTTTTCCAAACCAAGGGTATCCAGGTCAGGCTCTGCAAGCTGCTGGGCAACCAGGGGTATCCAAGGTCAGGCTCTGCAAGCTGCTGGGCAAAGAAACAGAGGGGCCCTTCCCAAACAGAGAGCCTTACAACCACGGGTGTTTTCAAAACCAAGGGTGTCCAAGGTCAGACTCTGCAAGCTGCTGGGCAAAGAAACAAAGGGGCCCTTCCCAAAAAGAGGACCGTACAACCACGGGCGTTTTCCAAACCAAGGGTATCCAAGGTCAGGCTCTGCAAGCTGCTGGGCAAAGAAACAGAGGGGCCCTTCCCAAAAAGAGAACCTTACAACCACGGGCGTTTTCAAAACCAAGGGTATCCAAGGTCAGACTCTGCAAGCTGCTGGGCAAAGAAACAAAGGGGCCCTTCCCAAAAAAAGGACCGTACAACCACGGGTGTTTTCCAAACCAAGGGTATCCAGGTCAGGCTCTGCAAGCTGCTGGGCAGCCAGGGGTGTCCAAGGTCAGGCTCTGCAAGCTGCTGGGCAAAGAAACAGAGGGGCCCTTCCCAAAAAGAGGACCTTACAACCACGGGTGTTTTCAAATCCAGGGGTATCCAAGGTCAGACTCTGCAAGCTGCTGGGCAAAGAAACAGAGGGGCCCTTCCCAAAAAGAGGACCGTACAACCACGGGCGTTTTCAAAACCAAGGGTATCCAAGGTCAGACTCTGCAAGCTGCTGGGCAAAGAAACCAAGGGGCCCTTCCCAAAAAGAGGACCTTACAACCACAGGTGTTTTCCAAACCAAGGGTATCCAGGTCAGGCTCTGCAAGCTGCTGGGCAACCAGGGGTATCCAAGGTCAGGCTCTGCAAGCTGCTGGGCAAAGAAACAGAGGGGCCCTTCCCAAAAAGAGAACCTTACAACCACGGGTGTTTTCAAAACCAAGGGTATCCAAGGTCAGACTCTGCAAGCTGCTGGGCAAAGAAACAAAGGGGCTCTTCCCAAAAAGAGGACCGTACAACCACGGGCGTTTTCCAAACCAAGGGTATCCAGGTCAGGCTCTGCAAGCTGCTGGGCAACCAGGGGTATCCAAGGTCAGACTCTGCAAGCTGCTGGGCAAAGAAACAAAGGGGCCCTTCCCAAAAAGAGGACCTTACAACCACGGGTGTTTTCCAAACCAAGGGTATCCAGGTCAGGCTCTGCAAGCTGCTGGGCAACCAGGGGTGTCCAAGGTCAGGCTCTGCAAGCTGCTGGGCAAAGAAACAGAGGGGCCCTTCCCAAAAAGAGAACCTTACAACCACGCGTGTTTTCAAAACCAAGGGTATCCAAGGTCAGACTCTGCAAGCTGCTGGGCAAAGAAACAAAGGGGCCCTTCCCAAAAAGAGGACCGTACAACCACGGGCGTTTTCTAAACCAAGGGTATCCAGGTCAGGCTCTGCAAGCTGCTGGGCAACCAGGGGTATCCAAGGTCAGGCTCTGCAAGCTTCTGGGCAAAGAAACAGAGGGGCCCTTCCCAAAAAGAGGACCTTACAACCACGGGTGTTTTCAAAACCAGGGGTATCCAAGGTCAGCCCTGCCAAGCATGTTTTTTTTTCTAGCAGCTCGCTACCTGTGCAACCCCCGTTCTGCGCATCGCAGTGCGAACCGAACGTCTTGACGAATTGCCAAGAGAT